TTATGGATCAACACTTCTTTAAATGATGCAAATGGTAAAAATGAAAATAAAAACAAAAAGGAATTAAGTTAGTAAAGTAGAAACATGAATCAAAATAATAATAAAAATAAAATAAATATTCATACCCCACATGATATTTACCCCACATGCTTTTATTCCTACCCGGACATGATTTCTATCCCGCATGTTTTTTTCTTGAACAAATCCCAACCGCGTATATTTCTAATTCGCATGCTTTGAACAAAAAATAAAGCAAGAAATAACTCAAGCAACCTAGATTTTGAAATGAAGTTTCGGGGTGGGCTCTAATTCCTTACAGCATCCCGATTTAGGTTCTAAAAAGGTACCTAAGTTCTCCTTGTTGGTACCCTATTGGGCTTGCCAAACCTCAGCCCTAAGCCCATTACAAGCTCATGTGGACCAAGTTAAACTCGAGAGAATACATTCTCTTATGTTTGTACAGAGAATAAATTCACACGAAGACATAAAATATATGAATCTCGAAGGTTACTTGCTAGGCCTATATGGAGAATAAATTTCCATGAAGACATCGCTTTCACCTCCACTTAAAAATGGTTTGGAGCTCGGGAATAGAGCCTGAGATGAATGATGTTTTTGAAAAAGTTGAAATCATTAAAAAAATATCAATACAACTATTTATTTGAAAAACAATAATAAAAGGTAAATAACAAGGATTGAAAGAATAAATTAATAATTTAAACTTGTAATTTTCACTTAAGAAGACAACCAGAAACTAATTTTGGCCTGACTCACTTACTGTCCCCAGTGGAGTCGCCAAGCTATCATAACCATCCTTTGGGTGGGCCTAGAATCAGGTTTCGACTTGATTTTGATGTTTTAGAGTCCCCATCGATCATTTAAAATTAGGTTGATCGGATACCTTAATTTACCATTTTACCTTATCTATGTTTTACTAGAAAAATATTGGATTTGGTAGTCAATTACTGTCAAGGAATGATTAGCACCATTGTACTACCCTTTCGGTACCAATTAGATTTATGGTTGTCTTAATTGTGAAAATAAAAAGCCAAATTAAAATTTAAAAGTTCTATCTGAATTACTTACCTTTGACAAATTTAAAATTGTCCGAAAAATAAATAAAATAAATATTAGATTGTAAAATAAGATAAATGAATATTAAATAAATAAAAGAAAATTAAAAATATTAAATTAGAAACTATTAAAATTAGGGGTTTAATTGAAATTAGTTGAAAGCTGGAGGGAGAAAAATATAAAAGATATAAATAAGGATTAAATTGAAATAATTCAAAATTCAAGGGTAAATTTACAACAGGTAACCAAAATGAATTACACATCAAAACTCTAGGGTCTGCATAAATAATTAAATTATTTTATAATTATAAGACGGTGTCCCTTATAAATACCCCTAAATCCTTAAAAAATTCATTTTATATCAATTTACCAAAAAAAACTCTCCAAAACACTCTCAACCAAAACCCAACCGGCCTAGCGTCAGTCACTCTCCGATGACCCACTCCACCGCTCGGCCACCACCACCGATGGCCGAAAAACCCAAATTTGACACAAACGATCCTCCCAAAATCGAAGCCCGATTGCCCAAAAGAAGACTAAATTGGCGTAGATCTAAGTCATAAGGTTCAGATTTTTACCTTTTCCGGCGAGCCCTTTTGACTTTCTACAGTTGTTTCCTTCCCGAGCCAAGACCAACGATGCGTTTGTCTTTCTTCTTGCGTGAATGTTTGGCTTTGTTTCGATTTTCGCTTGGTTGTTTTCGATTTTGGCCGATTATTGTTTATTTTCGGTGGGTTTTTGTTGTTCCGATGATAATGCTTTGATTTTCTTTATTGTCATTGTTGTTTTCTTCAGTTTTTTTCTTCTCTATTTTTCTAGGATTTCTTGGCTTCCTCTCTGTTGTCGTTGCTGTGTCCGGCATGGTATTTATATAGCCCCCGATAGGGTTGTTTCTGACTTCAACGGGGTTATTTCCCTCGTCTCTGATTTACTCAGGCTTACCGTCATTCGTGTGGCCGAAATCTCGATCGGTTACTGGCGCGTGTCCTCCACGCGTGATGCTTGTTTCCTATTGTGCGGCGCCCTTTTGCTTATGTGTGAAAATCCTAATTCGATTTTGGTTGGGTCAGGCCCCCTATCTGGGCATGCTTTGTTGGGTCAGGCTAGCATGGCTCGGCTGGACTCCCTTGCTGGACTATTTGAACTTAATTTAGACTTGGACCTGGAAAACTGGAAAAAAAATTAATAATAATACAAATATAATATATATATATATAGAAATGACCATCCAGCTCAGTTGGTAGAGCACAAGGTTCTTAACCTTGAGGTCGTGGGATCGAGTCCCACGGAGGGCATTTCATAATTCGGAGGTCTCTTACGGAAGCTGCTCTCAACCTAGTGTTGGGGGTAGCCTACTATCTTACCTCCCCCTTACCCCATACATATGGGAAAAAAGGACAGCCATTTTATATATATATATATATAATATCATATAATATAATATATAATATACTATACTATACTATATATACATAAAAAAGCAAAAAGGTTTGACGAAAAGGAGTGTCTACACACACAAAAAAGAATTTAGATTTCTCTCCAGATCAGATGCAACAGTCTCTTAAGAAAATTGAAGGAATGAATCCCAAAAATTACATATTGTTATTTTTATATTAAATGTTTCTACTTACTCTCTATTGTTATTTTTTAACATAAATGTTTGAATTATTTTTTATATAACAAAAATGGGATAAGTAAGTGAAAATTAAATTTCTCAAAGAAAAGGAGGAAGCTTAAATATTTTTTTAATAAATTTTCTTTTTCAAAATATATTTTTCTAAAGGGGAGCTTTTGTCAAAAATAAATTTTCAAAGAAATTTTGTTATATCAATAAAGGGAGATTGTTGAACATATATTTTGATATAACAAATATTTGTAAAATTGATTTTGGACTTAATCAAATATTTCAAAACAATTTAAAGTCCAAAATATCTTGAAAAATATGTTTTTTAATTTTTTTTTTATATGTGAAATGCTTTTGAGTTAATTAAAACATGTTTGAAGTCTTTAAAGCTTTTAAAATATGAAAAACACTATTCAGTCACTATTTGACAATATTCATGACAATCTTCATACATGGTACTGTTTAAAGTTTGGAAACTTTTGTAAGAGTTTGGAAATTTTGTCCCCTAAAATTATTTTAACAGCCCAATTTTCTTCAATGGTCATATTTTTAAGTAAGACGAAAAATTAAAGTTTCGAAACTTTCTCCAAAGTTTCGAAGTTGCATGTGTAGGTGGCCTTTATTGCATATTTTTAAAGCTTCCAACGGCTATAACTCATCCCAGCGATCATAAACAGCTAGCAACTCATTACACACAATAAAAGTACTCCAAGGACACTTGAAAAAAGTTACAACACCTATCTAAGCAATAAAGATCAAGAGAAAAACCCTTTTACTCTTTATTTTCCTTTTTCACTTGTACACAAGTGTTTGAGCTTAATTGTTTATCTTTTGCATTCATTCTTGTGAGCTCAATTCTTGTAAACACATACATTTGTGAGGTTTTCTTGTTTACAGTTCTTATCCTTTGTAAAAGGGGAGTGGTTCTAGCTTAGCCTTTGAAAAGCTAGAGAATTGTAAAAGTTACTCTTTAACCTAGAAAAAGAAAGAATAAATTAGTGAATTTGTTAGAAATCCTTAGTATGGAACTAAGATTTTTAAAGGCCAATTCACCTTATCTTGACGGTTTTCGGTTGATCATTTCGAGTCTAATAAAAATCTACTGGCAAATCATTAACCAAGACCCAAAATGCCACCTTGTAAAGATCTGCCACTCCTGGAATTTCCTCTTAGAGAATACGATGAAGGATCAATAGATGGAAATTAAAAGTACCATAGACCTCATTCCAAATCCTTTCCACATCCACCTAGTGATAAAGTCTGAATAGATATAGTTCCTTCCTTCAATTCAGTTATTGAAATACATTCAATGGGATGCCAACATTTTCCATCATTGTCCTCGTTACGTGGAAATTAATATTGCCCAATGTAAGGAATCTTCCCACCAACAACTTTCAAATGATACCAATGGAATAGTATTTGATTGGTCAGAACTTTTATCTCTTTGCCTAATTCCAATCCCACAATTCATTCTAGAGGTCTCTCATTTCTCCAAATCACTACTGCAATCAAAGAACGAAAACCAAAACACAAGTGCAAAATTCAAAATCGAAGTACACAACTAAAAACCCTAATGTCGGGTAAAAAGAAAAACCCTAATGCTGGCAATTCTTTAATATCCAAAAATTCAGATATCTAATTTTTTCAAATCGAATATGGATCATAATTTTAGTGATTCAAATTTTCAAATAACTCGACGACATAATATTTTAAACACTAACTCGACAATATAATGCAAACAAAATCAGCCCATAAAATAAACTTAAACAATTTAAATCAAATTTATCATATCTTAAGGTTAAGAAAAACAATCACAAATATTTTAACAAAAAAGAAATTCACCAACTTTTCAACAAAAAGGGAGATTTTAAAACAATTGAATAGTCAATAATTATTGTGATTTTAATAATAAAACTTAACAAAAACAACATATAATCAAGAGACTATTTTATAATTTTTAATGATCAAAACCTCACAGAGCAATAACTTTTAATAATCAAAGTCTCAACAAAAACAGTTTATAGTTGGGCACCGGGTATTTTACCCTGGTATTAACAATATGACAATCTTATATATTCACATCATGAAAAATAAAATAAAATCATTAAAAGTCATTAAAATAATAAACAAAATTCAATTTCAAATACCAATTTGAGATCAAAATATTTTAAATACCAACATGGAAAATGTGTTCAAGTTCTAATATCAAATCTATATTTAAACTAATTCAATGACAAAAATACATAATGAACGAAATATGGGCGCATCCGCTAACCGGAGGCACAAGGAAGAATCTCAATTTTCATAGAGCATCATCCTCCATTAAGGTGGTTGTGATATGTGGATTCAGTCGGCTCAAAGCTCTAACTATTATTTCCTCTTTCAATAACACAAAATCTGAATAACATGATATTACAATGCCTTTATTTGTTCATCCACCGTAGTGGTAGAGAAACTATTTCTCTCCTCAAATGTCCGAAGGACTGTCAATCTCCTGAACAACACGAAAGGCAAAACAAACGAAACAGGTCTGAGTGTCCAGCCACAATCCTCAAGCAGTTGTTCATTATATGTAAGAATTACCTTATCCTCGAGCACAGCTCCATCGGGAATTCGCAAAGGTTGCCCAGGGTCCACATCAATTATAACTTTCCCCTTAAGAATACAAGCCATCAAAATGAGTTAAACGACAAAGTTCCGGACTCGCAGGTAGTACAAAAACAGTAGACTTAAAAACCACAAAGCAAACCCATTCATTTTTACCCAATCCCATCATTCCGTATATAGGTACGAGGGGGACATGATCTTCCATGGACAATCATAAATACATGAAAATCTAAAAAAATATCGAACATACTCATGCCGTATACAGAAGTCCAAAACTCACAATTGAGTCCGAGTAACAAGAGTATTTCAATACACATAGAAGGTTATCAATACTGGCTGTACTCTTGATTTGTTTCAAATAATCTAGTCAACAATCTATACCAGACATTGCAGATATAAAATATTAATTTCAACCAAAAAGGAAAGAAATTTCGATAGGAATCAAATAGCATAGTTGAAGTTCTTAAAGAAAGTATAGCACTGATGGCATTTTTTTTCATTTTGTGGGAAAAGGAAATTTTGATAACAACATACAGAAACTTCCATTGGACACATTCCCTATTGCACAATTTAGCCATCAACCAATAATTAACAAATTACAGCGATTTGAAAATACTGACAAGCAACACTTGAATGAAACTTCAGTACCGAAAATATGATAGTATCAAGTTTAAATGTAAGCAAGATATGATGCAGGGGTAATAATATGGATACCTTGAGTGTTACATCAGCTCCAAACCAAACATCACCCTCCACCTCCAAGCTATCCAGCTTGACAATGCTAGGAATGGTTTTAAAGCGAGTTTTGAAATCGCTTATCTGATGAGGAAAATAGAGTCTAATAACATATTCAAGAAAATATATGAAGCTACAATAAAGATAATACCTTTGTGAGTCCATAACCCTCACCTTTTTGAATTTAGGTCCTAAAGTAATGTGAGGGTCACTAGGACTGACTCTCTTATCATTTCGAACTAAAATGCCTTCCTTAAATGTGTAAAGGTCTGACTGTAGAACACAAAATTGATGGTTAGAATTATAAGTCAGATGAAATAATAATTTCTTTGGGATGTAGCATAAAATTATAGTTTATAAACAGAAACACCTGGAGAAGAAGTAAGTCTGATGTAGAATTCAATGGAAGGAAATGAGACTGTGGAATGGAAACGCCAACTGATTTTTGAAATAACTGCCTCAATGACAGAAACAACAACAAAAATTCCATTAGTTTCTTTCTTGATGTAAAACCTGTTAAAAAAATATTTCAAGTAAAAAGCACCTTTGAATTAGAAAGGCTATCCAAACCCAGTACACTCGTACCTACAAGTCTTTTAATGGCTTTCAAATTTAGCCACCTGAGAAAAATGAAACCACAATTTAGCCTTTCTGCGTTTATTAGAACAACTTCACGAGGAATAGCAGTTCACTTACAGGTTTCTTGTATCAATGAATTTGAACCCTTTTACAAACTTGTTATGACCATGACAAAACATTATCCGAAAGAAATTACGCAATTGCACTATTGTTCTGTACAATTTGACATAGAAATTTTGGACAAAAAGTGCATATATACATATTTTCATGCCTTTTTCTTCGGTGAATAAGTATTATAAGCAACTTACCTTTTGAGTATTATCTGAAGTAAAATCTTCAAGCTATATCATGATGAAAGCAACAAAGTTAATTAACGATGTTTTGAAATATACATTGATATCAAATGAGTTTATCAGACACCAGCATATTTCATAAGATCACTTGCCTTGAACTTTCCATGGAGTGAACTAGCCATAACATTGATTAAACCAGTTGAGTTGGTAGGCATCACCTGCAAATAGTACACACTTGCAAATAAATTTTAGCCAAAGTAATACAATAAATGGAAACCTTCCTTGCATACCTCTGAACAATATTCAATACTGTTTTGGGCCAAATGGTTCAAGATATCTAAATACCCAATCAGGGGGAACAGCTACAGAATGAAGGTCATTAAACACCAGAAAATTAAGTAACAAAACCAATGCAAGGATACTGGGGTCCACAACACTGCCCACGTTGTCTGGGTTAACCACAAAGGCATACTCCTTACCCTGGAAGCAATGAGATTTACAGTTTGCATCAGGATTCCTCCTGGCATTCGTTTGCATTTTCTTTCTCATGCATATTTTCTCTTATAGATGTGAAACAAAAAGATAAAATTTCCAGATCACAAATACCTGGGAAAGTAATACATCAAGAGTTCCACCATTCACGAGGGAAAGGAATTGAGCGCCATGATTAGAAGATTGCCTTCGCAAAAAAAGAAAATTGAAGCACTGAGAAGAGCTTTCAGCAAATGGATACTTAGATCACAATGTAATCCCGTATACCAAATAATAATAAGCAAAAAGAAAAGGAAACAATTTGGAATTAAGAGAAAGATCAGATCACCACATAAAATTTGGACACATTGCTATTTCACAAGAGACAAAAATCCCTAAGATACTACAAGCTCTATGGTGTTCAACTGAACATCAAACTATGGTTTTTCAGAGAGAAAGAGGATACTGACACTAGATTAGGAATTTTCCTGTTCATCAAAATTAAAGGTACTTAAAATGCTAAATCAGGAAAATACACATCTAAAATAGAACAATCTAAAGGACCAGTATTTCATAAGAACAATGAGGAAAGAAAAAGAAAATATAAAGAATAAATTTTCAGTGTGATAGCTGTGGAGCTACCCTTATTTGCATTCAAATTTATGGCTGAGTTCTAGAGCCTACTATGAACTTTACCAAAACTTGCAGAAGTTTTATCATAGTTTATTCATACCATAAAATCTTATAAACCAAAAAAAAATGAAAAGAAATAATGAAGCTGTGCAAAATTGGGCATACCATTCATCCTCACCACCCTCGCTGAAAATTGATTCATCTTTAGTTTGTTCGCCCTACATAAATCCAATTATTTTATCAAGTGGAAATCACAAATTTATGGACTGTAGAAAAGAATTCAAGAACCAGTTATGCAACAAGAAAATACTAGTTAGGTTCTCAAAACTGTTCAAAAGGATGTATATTTAGAAAGATTCGAAAACAAGTTAAAGGACTGCAAAAGAAGTCCAGAAGCAATAAAACAAGAAAAGTTAAATTCTCAAACCAGTTCAAAAGGATGTATATCGATGTCTGAGCTGGAATACTTCTCCAAAACCTACACATGACGACTTGGCTCAGTACCTTTGCTGAAATACAAGGATATGAATAGAATGTGAGGGAGAAAAAAAATCACCTTTAAGATATCATTGTGCGTTCTCTTTGAGTTCATCAAAAACAGAGGGATGTTGCATCCATACTTGGAATTCAGTGACTACAATTGAAAGTATTAAAGTTGTGAGCTCCAATGATATAGAACAACAATACATACAACAAAAGCCCGTAACCAACCTGAATTTGGTTAACAATTAAGTCAAGATGTGTTGACCCATTTTTAACTTCCATCAAAGACCTGCACAAAGGAAAAAGAAATTGCACAAATTCAACTAAATGCCCAAATATTTCTATGATAAGAATGGCTCATACATAAAAGACTAAAGTTGATTTGAAATAAAAACTGGAAAGGTCTTAAATTGTTCTCAAATATTAAGATCACTAAGGAGATTAGTAGTAAAGAATCATTTATTCATACAGAATAAGCCTGTCTTGTGTGCGAATGCCAAATATAATAACAAAAACGATTTCTCCACAAGGCTGGAAGTACAATATTTTGAAGTAAGCATGCCATCACAATATTACAAGAAGATTTAACCATTTATCTCAACAAGATACACAGTCACATACCACAGAAACTATATTTAATAAGTAGGAGCATGTGTTTAATATATAAATACGGCCTCCTCAAGAAATGCTCTCTTTTCTTGGAAACGAAAATAGCATCAACTTCATAGAGATTAGAATATTGCTTACTTGGGACCATTGAAACCCATATTCTTTCCAGAAGCTTCATCAAACTTCACCACAACAAGCTTATCCAAAAGGTTATCTGCATCAGGACATAAAGAATTCAAACAAATTACACAAGTTATACAAGCTGAACTCCAATGTACAGCTAAAATTTGGTTGTTGTTGTTGCTATATCTGGGATAAAATAAATTCACAATATATAAAGAGAAAACATTACCGTCAGAAAGAGGAGCTAAGTTATCATAAGGAACAACAAGCACTTCATCACTTGCAGTGCCCTCGCTCTCACCAGCGCTCTCTACTTTGTCCCTTTTATCAAATATTATATTTCATGTTAACCAGAAAATTGGAAATAATACCAATATAGAACCAAAGAACAGATGAAACGGTGCAAAAGCAAACCATGAACACTCAAATCATATCAAATAGACAAATTTCAGTAAAAATTCAAAACTGACAGTAGAAAATAAGAAATGAACAAGTCATTCGGCTGACTATTGAGAAGGAACCAATCAGAATAAAAAATGGATATTCTCTCTGTACTAAAATCCTCAACCAAGCTACTTAAGGAACTACATAGTAGTAAGTCAAATTATGTCTCCAACATATTAAGAAACTCATATTCACAACTCCAAATATCTTAAATCATCCATCATGCACATCCTAACTTGAAACAATTACCACCAACAAACTTAGTTGGTCTCTTACTTCCTCTCTAGTTAAATTGATAATATCAGTATCCAAACACACCTTATACCTATGCTTTATATACAAAATTTTGGTTACAGAGTACACAGATCAGAGACAAAACTCGCGCAAGCCCCAAAATACCTCCATATCCATCTCTCAAAAAACAAAGCATTCAAACCTCAACATCCGTCATTCTCATTTCTTTAGAATCCACATTTCAGTAGCAAAACTCTAAAGCACAAAGCATTTCCATCTACTCAGAAAGCCCGGAAAGACAAAATCCAACCAACCACATTCTATCCCAAATAAAGAGTTCCACCTTGTCACAGCATTCAAATTGCTATCTAAGCTCAAAGCTTCCAAATTTCAAACCAAGAAAAACTGAATTAAAAAGAAAGAAGTAAAAACATACTCGCTGGTAGCCTTCGTCCCAATCCCCTTTTCCCTATCTTTCTTCTTCTCCAACATAAGACACTGATCTATTACACACTAAATAAACGAACTGGACAGAATCATTAGCCGGTATCGGATAAGTAACCTTCTTATAATACTCCCAAGGCATACTGGAATCAACCAAGGCAACTATCGGAATCCCCAACCTTTCCGCTTCCAAAAAGACCGAACTTTTCCTCTCGGTATCGAAAATCACAACACAATCAGGCATCTTGGTCGGCGCAAAAACCAGTTTCTTGTTCCTAGACCGAAACTTCTTTGGACTAAAACTGTTGGTCAAAAATCCACGCAGTCTCCAGAGGCTGCTAGCCCTCTCGGGGCTAAAGCTCGAGACTCGGGTCGTCATCTCGTCGATAATGGGTTGGAAAAGTAGGTTGGTGTTGAAGAAGAGGAACGAGGAAGAAGGGTCACGCGAGAGGTAGGAGAGGAAGTTGAGAGCATTGCGGAGACAGATTAGGGTCTTGTCGGAATCGATAATGGCTTGTCTGTTTCGGAAGCCGTAGGTAAATTGTTTGAAATGGTGGGTAGCAACTTGATGGCCGATGTGAGCATTCGTTGTTAAGAGTTTTTGGATCACAGCTGAATGGATTGTCATTTTTATTCAGAATAAAAGTTCGGAGGTGGGAAAAAGCATAAAAGTTCGGAGGTGGGAAGAAGCAAAGGTTTAATGTGTTGATTGAATCAACCCCAAAAGCTTTAACTTTAGCGAAGCATTTCGGGATTTAGGGTTTAAAAAAGGGGGGAGTTTGCAGATTTGAGAAACGCTTATATACGAACAAGATGGTGTTAAACGGAGATACTTGGATCGGTTCGGTTCCAGTTGAACAGACTAGGGTGTTAATGGAATAAGTCAATCGTGAGTTATGACGTGTTTAATTCCTACTTATTAAAAAAATTAATATACTCAATTTGACTCGTTATTTGTTAAGTTCTTTAAAAAAAAATTATTATTCGATTCGTTGCTCACTTGTTGCTCGATAAATTCACTAAAAATTTTACTTTATTTTCATAACTATAAATAAAATCTACATATTCTATATAAAACTTAATATAAACATAAATTAATAAATTCAATCAAAATTATCAAAAGAGTATGAAAGAATTTCAAAATCTGAATTCCAAAATAATAATATACAAATACATTAAAATAATAAATAAAATTTTATTTTTGTGTGAGTAAAATATTAATTAATAATTTAATATTGTTTTTTTGTTTATTAAAAATTAATAGATTAATAATTTATCATCTTTTTTATTATCTATTAGTAAATAAGTAATTTTTAAATGAAATAATTTTTTAAGATAACTACTAAAAATTATATAAAAACTAAAGAGCTGCTCATGGACTTATTGAATCGAGTTGAACTTTGTTTGACTCAATTCATTAAAGTCTCGAGTTGAACTCGAGTTCGAATCGAGTCAATTAGAGTCAAATTTTTAATGAGCTTTGATCGAGTTAAATTCGAGTTGTTCACAAACTGCTCAACTTATTAAGCACCCTTAGAACTAGTCCATTTCATTTTAGGCATAATATCAAAAAGGTCTCTAACTGTACGATTAAATAATCACTTTAGTAATAGTTCTTATGTTTTTATAAGTATTTTAGCAATCAATATTTTACTTTAGAGAAAAAGGTCTTTATGTGGATGGAAGGTATTAGCTAACAAATGATTAATGCTCTAAAATATGAATTTTTTTAACCTAAAATAAAATGTTAATGATAAAAAAATACTTTAAAAAAAGAATAAAGGTCAAAATAGTTATTCAGTCAAATGTTAGAGGATTTTTTATCCTAAAATAAGACGTTAAGAGTCACAATATTCCACAAATCAAAATCAAAATAATCATTTTGATAAACATTAGAAGTTAAATTTAGTATTACGCCATTTTGCTCATCTAATTATAAAAATTTTCAATCTAAGCCTCAAAACTTTCAAAATTTGTTTTTTAAGTCACTGTGTTGTTAATTTGTTGAGGGAGTTAATGACACAATGTTCCTTTTGAGATAAACTTCAGTCCAGCTTCCATGCATCTTGTGCAAATGAAGCCATTATAGATCGATGTTTCACCACTAAATCAAGTTATATAATTTTTAATATTTCTAATCAAACTTATATTTAATTTAAACTATGATTAAAATTGAAAAAATAATTATGATTAATTACCTTTTTTATTTAGTTTAACTAAAATATAAGTTTTGGTAGAAAATTAACATGTTTTTCACTTAGCTTACTGGTTAAGAATGAGGACCTTTGTAATGTATTTTTGGGTTTGATTCTTCTTGGTAATAATTTTTGTATTTTTAAGCTGACGCAGGGTTAAACCAATATTAAGGGTTTAAATTCTGGCGGTTGTGAATGGAATAAATTGGGTTGGGAGGATCGCCCTTGCCTCTACAGTACCCAATCCGAATTAGTCGAGGTTTTAAGTTAAATATTAATTTTGGTGAGATTTTAATGTATATCTTGTCTTAGTAGTTAAGGTTTGGAGTTTTTTGCAAGGGGTCTTTTGTTCCTTTTGTTTAATATGTCATACGAACTATTGATAAGTATAAAAAATGGCATTAAAAAATAACACTCGTATTATCGTTAATTTTTAATTAACTACGATGACTGATGACTAAAATTAAAAAATATAATATTAATGATAATTTTATAAAAAAATATATAGTTCAATTGATAATTTTGTTTTGGTAGCTTGGTTTGTGGGGTTTCCTTCGAGAATGATGAACTCTTGAAAATGCTATTGAGAAGATAAATTTGATTATTAAAAAAAAGTTATTTACCTGATAAGAACTAATAGTAAATGAGTTTTCTTTTTCTTTTCTTTCATGAACCGAGACATTTGATTTAAATCATTCCTTGGTAAACACACAACCAATGTCATTTACATGATAAATGGTTCCCAAAAACCAACACCTTTTGCCGATAAAGCACGACTTTATTACCCCGTCGACAACACTTATTTTGCTTTGTTAGCATGATGAGTCAGCAATAATGTTGCTCACTGCTGCGTGTGCATGGCTAGTTTGCATGGTGTTGTTAGTAAAGTAATTAGCTGCTTCTTGAAGTTGTTAGTGGTAGTTAAGGTTGTTAGCAGCAGTTGTGAAATTTGTTAGGCTTGTATTCGATATTATAAGCTATATATAAACATCAGAAGTCTTGTATTTCATGTACAGCTTAACAATCAATATGCAAGTATTATTCTTTCTTTGTTACATTCTTAACATGGTATAATTCGCTATTGATCTTGGGATCGTGTGTTCTTGCTTCCGCTTGTGATCTGAATACTCTTAAAGTAATGTCTGATCATGGATCTTTCCTTTAGTGTTTCTCGTGGTTTCACCAACAAGAAGGTTAATGTGGTCCTTAATGAAACCAACTTCTTGTTGTGGAAACAATAGATTTAGCTCACGGTTCGGAGTCATTGACTGGAGTGGCTGTTGACTGGTGGTGTTTCTCCTCCACCTATGACGATTATTGATGCCATTGGTGAGACTCAAACGAATGAATCATATGAAGATTTCATTGCGCAAGATAGTGCTCTGGCATCTTGGCTATTGTCAACGGTGAACACATATCTTTTACCACAATTTGTTGGAGCTGAAACAGCTGCTGCGGTCTGGGAGACAATACTCAAGTTCTTTGCAAATAGCTCAACTATGTCAGTTATGAGCTTGCACTATAAACTATAGTCTATAAGGAAGGGGAATGACATTATGCGTGTGTATCTTACGTGCATTAAAGAAGTTTTTAATGCTCTTGCCTCGTGTGGGAGTGTTGTTCCTCCAGTTGAACAAATTGTAAGCATTTTGGTATTCCTCGTGAGTATTAGCCATTCATGGATGTTGTATCAACAATGAAATAAGCCCTCTCTATAGACAACATACATGCAATGTTGATGGATGCTGAGGTACAATGTTCGCGTGTTGTGAGTACTATAAAATATACGCAAATAATGTGCAAGTATACACAATCGCTCAAGTAATATAATGATGAGTGAGTATCGTCTCCACAGGGATTGGGTGAAATCACAAAAGTCTAACCAAAGCAATGCACTAAATTATCTAAGTATAGTTAGTCTTGATATATACAAATGTCACGGCAATGGATATGTGTATGCTGGTGGATGCGGATTGATGGTGTGATGGTGTAGCAAATGGAAATGCAGTGGCAATGATGGATGTTTAATGTTGAGTATGGTGAAATGTCAAGGCAATGAGAAATGGTAAAAACAGTAAATAAAAAGATAAATAAAATAAGAAGAAAATAATCCTCACGTGACAAGCTTCCAATGAAATGAATGGTAAAGGATTGGTCTAAGGTTGCTAAACTTATTTCTCAAGTATATCTAAGCTATCTTGTCTTTACTTACTCGACAGGGCTTTCCTAAGGTGTTCAAAAGAACCTAACAGAATAGGATGCCAAGGCATCTGCTCTCACTCAACGATGTTGGACAACCTACCCTATTGATGAAGACACCCTTTTTAGTCGTTGAAATCCTATCCTAGTCTCTTCCGAGATCTAAGGGATTAAGTTATAATATTCCTAGGCCGGTTCAAAGCCCCTTGAAAATACCATAACCCATTGCTTATGAGGATCTTATCTTGCGTTTCTTCCGAATACTTACAAGTATTTTTAGTTAGGATTCTTCCGAATACCTAACCTTCATCTAAGAGATGGAAATTTCCATGCCTCTTACAAGCCTAGATGGTGAAGCATTCATAAGCAAAGCAAATAAAGAACCAAAATAAACTTAAATATACCATTAAAAATAAAGTTTAAACAACCATTCAACCAACCACCACCAAATAAGTTAGTTCATGGTGGGGTTCGAAATATCCAAACACAAAGTCATGAAAATTCGTTCCAACAACCCACAAATAATATAAAGAAATAGCAGTAAAAAGGGAAGTGAGAAGAAGCCTTCGACGCGCCACCGGAGGTCTCCTCTCGACCACCACGAACCACCTAGCTCGCTAGCTCCTTTCGGCACCTAGCTTGCCACTCCTTGGAGCTTTATCAATGGAGGAATATTCCAAGGAAGAAGAAAGGAAAAAGAGAAAATAAAAATCTGATTTTTCTGCTCTATGCGTGTGCTCACCGTCCTCTCTTCTCTCTCCCATGAGGTGTCATATATAATAAATAAAATATCTAGGGGTAATGATGAGTTTGTTGGGTGCAAAATACCCCTCATACCCCTAGAATCACATTTTGTGCATGAATCTTATCCTCCAAGTGGCAGTGGCCCATTGGCAGCTCTGGTAGGCGGTTACAGCAGTCCTTCATGTGCAGAGACAACTGTCCAGTGCCAGCTGTCCTTATGCAGAAATATCTTTTTGTCTTTTTTCTGCGCCAGAAATGCCAAGGCATTTCATTCTGCTTTAGCAACGTGTGATGCCGCGGCATTACTTCCCAAAGAATCCTTTTTCTTGCTATTCCCTGCACACCATAGACAAACTGCACCTTTCCCTCAAACAACACCATTGAGAAATAAAATAGTACAACCACCACAAATGCAACTATATGCAACTACATGATCCTAAAATGACTAAAATGAGCTTTTAAACAAACAATAACTTAAGTGAAAAAGGCT